CCTATCAGAGCCCACTGCTGAGCAAAGGCCTCTTTCTCACATGGAGAAGGTTTGAGCATTAATCACCACGCTTGCTCAAGACGGGTTGGTGAATTCAAACTTATAACTTCACATAAAAATCGAAGTATTGCCACTATCACTGTTTAGATTATTTTGCAATGAAAACAGGTTTAATTCATTATTAAGTATCGTGTATCATACAATACCTATATAAAGATGACCTACGTAATCAATAGGAGGCCCATCAGCGATTACATCATTTAAGTAAAACTTTAGGGTCTATCAACCCTTTATTATACCCACGGTTTTGACGTAAACCGCATTTAAAGTTTAACTGGAAACTATGAACATTATTTTACTGACCCTTCTTGTGAATTGTAAGACGAATATTGCCATAACTAAGTTTTGATTATATCTCGTGAAGTTTGTTCAAATACGTTGGTTTTCACAATCAAAGATGTTGTCGTTTCTTCACGAAGTAATTTAACTTTGATCATAAAAAAGCTTCACGCTATTATCTTTAGCACTAAACTTATGCTATCTATAAATGTCGGCACATATTCATGTCTACTTCGCAATTTCATGTTCCATAGAATTTCATTGGAAAGCTATCATCTGTCATATTCAATACCTTATTGAACATATATTTACAATCAAGTATAATTAATGTGGCAATGAAGTGTTAAAGTTAAATATGTATTACTAGCCACAATATTCTTTTAATTTCTAATATTTAGTTGTGTTCTGTGTATTTAAGCGACCTAAAAATAAGAAGTTTTATTATTCCTATACAGCTGTTAATAAATAGATAATGTCCGAATTCATTAAGCCGAAAGAGTAATTCCTATAACAACAACAGATTCAATTGAAACAATATATAACGTGTCGGAAATAAAACCGAAACTATAAAAGAACGCTAAAAGCGAAATGAGAGAAAATTTTCAAACATTCCCGTGGGTAACAACAAACCATGTTACTAACCTCACTCGTTCTAAAACACTTCCATTAAATCAAAACGCCACACAAGTTACAATCTGGATAAATTATTAAAGTCGAAAGTGTTATTAAATTGTTTTAAATCTCAGAATTAATACATTAAATACAGTTGAAAATTAGATTACTCATAATAAACTTTCTCTTAATCGACGACTAAACTTTAGCTTAAAAGTAATGAATTTTTTGTCAAAATATACTTGTAAACAAATAATAATGTTATTGACAAGTTACTCCACGGAATACGTCACGTACACGTCACGACGTGTCACAATGTTCAATAATTAATTTAATTATTTCACCTTTTTGTGACGTTAATTTTGTATCAAATAATATGATTTATATAAATGAAACTAATATTTTCGGATTTACTAAGCGGTTTTTTTATTTTTTACTATAAACTACATACTCCCGACGTTTCGGCTACTTTACAGCAACCGTGATTACGGGCAGACGAGATGTGCCCGTGATCACATCGGTCTAGAAAATATTAGTTTTATTTAAATGAGTACTACCGAAAATCTTAGATCTCATTAATATGATTTATATTTTTTTTATATGATTCATTTCTATCAAACGTTTTAATATGACGTCTTGTGGAATTTATAAATATGTACTTGTATGTTTAAAACGATTAGAGATGGTAAGCTTTGTAGAGACGAAGGCTAGCAATAAGAAGCTTATTTGAATTTTCTCGTAAGTATATCTGATACAGTTTTCTAATAATTGTGTCATTTTTTTGCTCTAATCCATTCTTACAATTAGCAACGAAGCCACTTTTATAAAACAAGTCTTTGAAAATACCTTTTAGAAAACCTCCAGCTACCTTGTAAACTTATCGAAGAAAATCTTTTTTTTACCTGTCTCTTGCAGTTAATTACTATCCCTGAATTTGATAGACTTCCGTCTAGCAAACGGCTTTTAAATTAAAAAAAAGTTCGTAGCTTCTCCAATTTGAAAAAAAATTTACGTCAAAACAAAAAATATACGGGCAAATTGACAAACTATAAATTATATCAATAACGACGTATGAATAACGAAAACAAATAGCGTACGATATTTACCTTAATTTTAACAGGAGCATGATTTAAATCAAACGAAAACCCACGAGATAGACAATTTTGTATGTAGCAAACACAACTTCAAAATACACGCCCTCAAGCTTAGCAAAGCAAATACGTGACTTCAAACAGTCGGTCCAACTAATTTAACATTCCATCCCGTATCGGTCAGTTTGGTTAATCTGACAACAAGTTGACATGGGACTCTGAGCTGGGCGGTTGTTTGAAAAACCTCCCCTGGGATGGAAACAATAAGATTGAAATATGCATGAAGCCTTCCTTTCTAGTCCAAGCAAATTCACATAACAGGGTTACGCTGTGATTTGTATGAATTGTGTCAATTAATATATAGTACTTTATTTTATTATTTTTAACAAAAACAATTAAGTTTAATTTCGTTTTTCATTTTTCAACACTTCTATTACTATTATGAGTATTAAAAATTATATATAAAAGATATAATTAGGCATAATACATATATTGAAGTAGGCTGCATACATTTATTATTAATAACATAGTTAATCAAATAGTTTAGCATAATACATTTTTTCAGAACATTGATTTTATAAATTCTAAATAAATTATGGTTTTGTAATCGCTTTCCCTTTGAATCCTTTTAAACTATTCTCCGTAAGTCTTATAGAAATGATATCAACTCATTTCTATACTTACAGCGTACACGATCATCCTTCAGAGATAATTTTAACAATAAGGCTATCATCCTCTACGGACAATGTGTCAGAAATTCTTGCCTTAATTCCTGTCACTTGCGCCATAGATAACACAAACAATCCGGTTTATATTACCCACGCGATGTTTGAACATCTAGGATAAGTCAATCTCTCGTGTTTTATTGGAATTATGATTAAGAATCGAGGCCAACTAACAAGCAAAAAAAAACTCACATGAAAAAGTTTCTATATCAAATATTTAACCGGCAGTTTCATTATATACAGCCAGTATTGCTTTCACAAAAAAAAGAAGAAATTGTCACCTCATGTAAATTGATTATGCAGAATAGTCTATTATCTTTTCTATACACTTTTTTATTCTTAAAGATCCCTATTAGCATAGCATCTTCGCCTCACTAGATAATGTAAAATATTCATAACGAATAAATTTGTGAGAATTACAAAGCTGAAAGTAAATAGCGGGTTTAATCTTGACATGGTTTTATGAAACTTTGGACTCAACACATTTGAATACACCACTGTTTATTTTATACCGACGAGTGGCAATTAGTAGCTACTCAACAATTACGACCTCAAACATGGGACTTGTAAGTTATGTGGAAATCGGTTATTATATTATTTATATTTAACTAGCTTTGAAAAATATTATGACTCTGAATACCATAAATTGCTTTGCGAATTTTAGTATTATGATAAAATGAAATTGGTGGTTTGTCGTACTGTCCACTTTGACCTAAAATACTCCTCTTATGTTTGGAAGTCCAATACCAAAGTTATACAGCTATGTACTAACGCATTTGTTTTTTGAAAACCGTCATCCATTTGTCTTTTCCATCATTGGTTTTCAAAATAGAATACTTAAATATTGAGGTATTTACTGCGTCTTCAGCTGTGGTACCTACGTAAATAAAAAATGTTAGCAATACAAATTTTGAGTAATCATACAGCCATCGTTTTTAGTATTTTCTAAATAACAAAAAATCTTCCAGAAATGCTGACAAAACGTAATATTCAAAATAAGATATTAAACTATACAAAATCACCCGGTTCTACATTTAAGAAGTCATCTAATATATAATCGGAGTTAATTATGTAAACATATTAGTTCTGAGCGTTTAATACTCATGAATAACTATTCGTCATAACTAGACTGCTAGACGGACTAATGAACAAAGCATTTAGCATTATGCGGGTTGATAACACCCCTTATTGTTCTCGCCCGTATACGATGACCTAAGCCTCTATACAACTAGACGGATCTTTAGATGATTAAAATGCCATTTAAATCTAAATTACCTAAATCGTAATAGTAAAATAGGGTTTGATAATTTAAAACTATCAAATGGTACGCGGTTTTATCCCTAACAGCAGTAGTGCTAACAATTCTAATTATCGTAGTAGTAACAATCTATAGTAGTTGTAGTAGTAGTAACAATAGTCCTAACATAGTACAATCTATGTAGTATACTAAAGTTTTTTGCTTTAAAAATAGGAAAAATTTTCAGTAAATATCAAAGGTACGGCATAAAGGAGAGTTAATATTGTTACGAGAACACTTAAAAACCGCAATTAGAAGACAAACTATTATAGGTTTATAGAAAATATTCGTAAGTTATTATTTTTACATTGAAATCTTTATATTTATTCCTTTTATATTTTGCAAAAGGCAAAATTGAGAAACAATTTTGTGTCATTATATGTTTGAAGCAGAATATTAGTTGTTGATGGTCGTTTTATATCCTGGATAAAATTGTAATCGCTTTCAAAATTCATAATGTAACAGCTCATTGAGATTTGTTTGCGTAATATAATTTTCATTCGATTATGTATTACCTCCCGTTAACAATACATTCCAGGTAAACATGTAAATAAATTAAGACACTCACGAATTCAATATTTCAGAATCCGACGCAAACAGGCGTCACTTTATGAAAAATAATATACGCCAAAGGGCGTCTGTTGGGCGGTATAAATGACAGCTGTCAAACGAGGATTAAAAATAGCGGTCGGCCACAGCTAAGCGTTCAGAATTATAACTTGTATTTATTTTTATTACGGTTCTAAAATTTACAACAACAATTTTTTTTTATTATGAAACCATTTAGAAGTACTGAAAGTCGTACTTTTTTTTCGTATTTCGTTTTGTCATCATATTTATTTAGGCCCAGGTTTATAAGATGTATTGAAGTAAATGCAAACGTTTTACGTGGTTCATCTCTTAGTTAAGGTTTGATTATAAGAAGTATAAGTATTTATGCATATTTTTGTTCTAATTCTAGGTGAATGGCGTGGAGAGAGGAGAATGCTGGATATTACGAGAGACAAACCTGTAAAGGTGTGCGTCCGAGTTGTCGTGCCTGTTCGAGACCATCCGAAGGTAAAACTTACATTAAATAAATCATTATCCATAGGAAATTGTTCAATGGTACAGCAAAGAAAATTTGCTTTGAAAAAATTAATGTGCTGTATTAATTTATAAACTGATATATTTTATGAAACCAAAGTAATATTATAGTTCATTACTAAAAAAAACCCTTAAAGTAATAATTCTACAAAGGGAAATAAAGTAAGTAATATTTTCTAAATTATTCTATATATAATACTGTAACAAATTTTTACCGCCTCATTTTATTTATAATCAAAACTTTTGATGAACATCAACATAATGTTTGTTAAATGGAATGTTCAGAGCAAGATAAATAAAGACGTTTCAGACGATCGTCTTAAACGATAGTCTAAATTAGTTCTCTCAATCACATCATCATTGTATGGAAGATTTCTTTTCATATTTCAATAATCACAGTTAAAAAGACAGAACATTTTCTTTCGGGTCAGTTATACTTAATAAAGAAATTAACTTCATTGAGATAAAAAGGTAACGGATATTTCTTGATTATATGGCGGTACGAAGTTCGCCGGGTCAGCTAGTATTTTATATAACAAAAAAAAAACAAACAAATCAAACATCTCCCATAGTTAATAAAATTTATTTATATACTTAACAATACAGTAATTGGTTTTAATATAGTCTAAGTTATAAGTTAAAATAATACTTAAAAATAATTATCACAATGCAGTTAATAAGTATAACAAAATAGATAGAAAATATATAATTTTATTTTCAACACTGGTCACGTTTCTATTCCATTTGTAAGAACCTCTGACAAATGTCCGCAATCCCAAAGGAATTTAAGGCTGGTGATACACTGAGATTAAGCTATATTACATATGTTACCATATTAAATGATTTAATTTTAACAACAATGAAAAACAGTTTCTTCATATTAAAACCAGGAGCTCTATTTGAGTATGAAATAAAATATTTAATATTCTTATTTAAAAATCCTTTAAATGAAAATTAAAGTATGCTTAAGTTTCTGGAAATAATCAATGAAAATAATAATAATAATATAATTCATGATATGACAATAAATGCGTATATATGTATATTCTTTTAATATAGTATTATCGTATCCCCATCCTATTTAGATTCAGGGTCAGGTGCGATCTTTTGTAATGTCCAATTTTTACCTTTCTTCTCAATAATCAGTCGTAATGGATGGGTCAGAAATTTATTTCGACGGTAATCAAAGATGACATTATATATCAAGTCTCAATTTAGTTTTCGATATTTATTGATTTTATAATATATTTAGCAATCTAAATGAGAAAAATGTAACTCATTTGACTGAGTTACTATTCAAGTCATGATACAAGTTATAGATAAATTATTTTCAACTAAACAAACTTGTTTTAAAGACTACCAAGCGAATTAACGTTTATTGAAATTGTATTCTTTCTAATATCTAATACAAACGAGTACTAAAAAATTGATCCATCATTATGTATTTAAAATTAATTTTATTTTACAATTTATGAAGTAAATTATGCGTACGAAAATTATCGTAAAGGCTAATAATAAGTATTTATTTCGTAATTCATATATTCTTTGAAAAAAACATGTCACATATATAACATAAAAATTAAGAAGTCAATTATACTGAAAGTAAAAGAAGATGATTAATAAATAAAAAACAGATACTTTATAATATTCTCCAAAAAATAAACCTAATATTAATCTCGTTCTTCAGAATTAAATTAATAAAGCAATAGTAGAGATGCCTAGTGTAATTTAATTATTCCCTTTATAAAGACTTTCGTAAATAAAGCTAGGTTCACAAGTATGTCACTAATTAAGTCTGTGGAATATAATCTCTGCCTTTGTCTAGACAGATATACGTGTTGGTGACTTTTGTAATTGAAGTTATTTATAATAGAAGTGTTTTAAACTTATCTTTGTTGGTGATTTCAAATGTTGTTATTTATCATATTTCATCTATGTATATGTTCTGCCTCTAGTGTATATATTCTTAGAAATAAGATTAAAAAAGAATTTTTTTTTAATAATATTCCATATAATCAATTTTAAAATAACAACTTTCAACTATCTCGATTTAAACTTATCGTTAAATGTAATCTGAAAATAACACGGACAAAAGATTTGAACACACTTCGAAAATCTACTATCGACTAATCTATCACACCATCGGGCGTTGCGAACCAAAACAGAGTCCTGATCTCCTTTGACAACTGCTTATATGACGATCCAGTCTCTCCTAAACTCTTATATTCCTACAATATTTATGTATATGACGTTTGTAAATCCATTCTAATGTAGTTTTAATATAGTAACAATAAAGTATTCCTCAAATAGACAAATATTTTTTACACAGGCATTCATATATACAAGTATAATTAAAACTGTTCATAAAAACTATAACACAAGTTCTCCTAACTATCAATTTAAATCACATTTTATATAAATTTAGCAGAAGAAAATATAAATGAAAATAAATAAAAACTGTAATATCAAAAGAGATCACAAACTTACAACTCAAACTAACTCAGTCGATTTAAAATATTTGTCTTCCAACTGAATTCAAAAGCACATTACAGCGAGACGTGCTAAGCTCTCATTGCACTTTAACTTCAGTTCAAACTTATCATTTCAATATATTAGAATTATTTTATAACCAAATATAATATTTTCAAAGATTCCTTAATAATTATTTCTATTTTCATTCACGAAAACAGTTTTTAAAAATTTAATTCAACAAAATGCATTTTTCATTTATATTATTTTAAAAATAATGTATATATTCTTCCGATGTAAAGAAAGTTATTGATTGTCATAAAAACTTGCAGTAATTTATCAAATACTTCAAAATGTAGACTAAATTTTATACATATAATTGATTGCTTCTAAAAAGATTACTTTAGTTCGATACTTATCCACCGATCAATATTTATTATTATGAATTTATTTAGTGAAGTCTCTCTCGGGTAAAAGTGTGAACTACACTTTGTTTTATTTGGATACAGTCCAATGTTTGCTGAAAGTACTGTATTTTGTTTGGCGACGGTCTCTCATATTAGTTCAGGTGTTTGTAGTGTTGCTGTCAACTTACATTATAGAGTCAATACGTTTTATTGCCAGTACAGAAAAACATGACCTGAATTTTAATAAAATATGTACAAATACGAATACGTACGTATTGTTTAGTTATATTTTATTATAATATTATTATAAGCACTGTTAGATAACCGAAATAAATTAATTAATTCATTATTAACAAGTCCGGTTATTTATATTAAAAACATCTTTTTCAAAAAAATAGCTACCAATTATCATAAGTTTCCATAGAATATATTTTTTTCCTTGTTCATGATGCTACATAATTGGTTTAACTACAGATATTGCGCCTTTAAAGCATAGAGAAATATACAAATAAATTTAATACATAGCCTTTTTTAAATCCCGACAGCGACGAACTTAAAAAACTAAACCTTGTCTATGGGAGCTGTCAAAAAGCAATCCTTTATAACACGAGAAAGAAAGATTGTGCTGCGTTCAATAAATCAATAACTGTACTAGTTTCAAACAATGGCTTTGAAAAATTTGCTTACAGGAAAATTATTTTAAAGAACACTTTGTGCGAATAAAAATAGCTTATTTCAACTGAATGAAACATTAACTAACATAGATACGTACATTTATTTATAACAGTCGTCTTGATGATAATATTATAAGGTTTTTGCTTTCTGTTATCAATTCGCTGCTGGAATACCAAAATATTTCAATTACTGATTCTGTGAATAGAAACACTGCATGAATTATTTATACCATCCGAAACATAAGAAACTAGAACGTATCTGACGTCTTTTCCTAAGTATTTTTTTAGAGAATCACAATGTCAATAAGCAGACAAGTAAAAAAAAATGCTTTTTTGGAGTTTTCGTAATGTTTTGCGATTTTTGACCTTAAATTTCCCAAATAAAATCATGCTTTTTTGAGGTTTTTCTTAACATTTGATGATCTTTCACCTTCAATTGCCTACCCAATAGAATGTGGTGATTTCTATATACCGGTATCATTGATGTAAATAAGATAATAATTCCACAGACATAGGGTCATACGCTTTAGAAGTTTTTGTATTTCAAAGAATGGACAATTCATACTTTTATTGCTAACCTGATACTCTTATAATAGATATCAGAATGTCCTATTACAATAGATTTGATATCTTTGGTAGAAGCGGCCTAGAATGCTGTAACCTTAAAAGCTTCTTCACGAAATCTTATGATGATTATGCTTCGTACCTGGAACGTTACTTATATTTCAAATCAATTGCCTACTCGTTAATTATATAAGATGGCAACCAGAGGTTCCAGAAAAACTACGAAACTTACTTATATGTATATTATAAAAAGAATTATTTATTAAAACTTATAACCAATACCTAGGACTACATGAGTTCCTCGATGTTAGGATATCAATATCATTCCATGGCTTGTGTGGTATCGGGAATCCTCTGGTCCACACGACTTTGTGTTCGTTCCGCGGAATCAGCAGAGTCACTTGTAATGTGATATTTTTTTGCCTCGGTGATGTTTATTTTATTTTTAACATGTTGCGCGTACGTAATCTGTTTATCATTTCATCATATACAAAACACCAATTAAATAAATTATCAAAAAACTATAATTATTTATACATTATGGTGTAATAGACTGGAATGAAACTAATAAAAATATGTCCTTATAATAGTGACAAAAATATCAGTTAATGTAAACACCACATTATTGAACAAGGACTATTTGCGAAGACTAGTCAGAGATCGTTAAACATACAATCACAAATTACCAACTGGATCTGTATTTACTGAGACTGACAAGTAATTAAATAAAATTAATTATGTACGTATTAATTGAGTGTTTCAATTGAATCATGTATCCGTTTTAATTAAATGTTAATTGCGACTATCGACTTATAGTTGTTTTATTTATCGTCAATTCTGATAATTTTTTTTTTCAAGTTAACAAACTTATTTATGTACGTATTTTTTTATAAACAAATTATGTACAGTGGCATCCAGAGGTACCATAAAACCTACAAAACTTACTTCTTTGTATATTATAATAAGAAGTACTTATTAAAATTTATAACCTATACTTAAGACTACATGCTTGAACCGATGTTAGGATAGCAATACCTTTCCATAGCTCGTGTGGTATCAGAAATCTTCTGGTTCAAACGGTTTGGTGTTCGTTCCGGAGAGTCGTCGTTATATGTATGATATTTGATCCATACAACGATGACTCCCCGGCGATGTTCATTTATTTTTTAATATGTTGCGCGTACGTAAAAAACATAACAAACAATTATAGCAATAAACTAACGCATGTTGTATCCTAGTAGGATAAGATATTCGTATTTTTAGTATCTAAACCTACACGTAAATAAATTTAAAGTTACATCAACAACAATGAAATGTCTTTATAAATAAGATCATTAATTATGAAAGATTATAAGCTATAGCTTCGGTAAAAAAAAATATTTGTATCAAATAATATTGTTACATTCATCGCGTTATACTTTATTATGGTTCTTAAAGCTTCCAAGATATCCGACGAAAGTATAATCCAAAATACATTATCTCATGAAATAATAATCTTAAATCCATACCCAAAGGAAATTGGTACATACTCGAATATCATGATAAGTTTATCGAGTCAAAATTCATATTTTCTTAACGATTGAAATTCATGGGAACGCCTTGTGTGCTGTCAGCCCTAATCGTAAATCAATATGGTGTAAATTTTGTAAACACACGGGGTTTAGTTACGTTCTAAAACATTCTAGAACTTAGTTGAATGTTGGCGAGACAACTGGACTTATAACATTTTGTTTGAGTTTAAATAATAATTGGTAAATGTTTATTTTAGTCTTACAATTAGGTATTTAAGGTTGAAGTATTGTTGAGTTTACTTCAATTAAAATTCGATAAAAATATTAATTGAAATATTCGTGTCAATGATTCCAACACAATTCCAAAACGATACATCGAGTACGGAGTTTTTCGGTTTGTTATTTTTATGTTTCCTATATCGTTATACTAAAACTATGTGTGTTTTCATTTGTATCAACAATACTATGTTTTCAATGTTACTCCTTAGTCCTTTAATTCTTTCATTAAAATTATTCTTCTATTCATCTTATTACATAACATTCGTAACGAATGAATTGAAATTATGAATGAGAAGTTTTTGAGATTGGTTGAAATACCCATTCATTATTTTTAATGAATACGCGTGAAAATAATTGCGGAAGTAATTTTGTTTTATAAAATAATTATTAGAATTCCACCATATTAATGTAAAGTTATATACTGCATCCGTAAAAATAGGGTTAGAGTAATTATTACTTATTATACAAAACTAGTCGATACAGGCGCCACCGCTATGTATTTTCGTGCAATAAAAATGCCGAATCTAGTCCCATGAATTTCCAAGTGATGTATTATATCCGGGGGAATGTCTGCAGCAAATTTGTTTGAAACCGCAACGGATTTTAAGTTAAAACGACGATAGTTATAAACATAAATAAAAAGAAAATTTAAATTTTAAATTTTCTACCAAACAAATGAGTTCCTTTAAATTAATGTACATTTTTATTTCCAACTATCCAGCTATATCAGGATGTTTTTTGCGAACTTCATTCAAGATAAAATTCTGTCGACAATTTTCACAAGTACATGAAATGAAATCTAAAAATATGTGAACCTTATATTATATTTGGTTCGATTTACGAGCGTTCAATCATGAGACAGATAAAAGAAATGTGCCGACCAACTTAATCATGTAACACGATAAAACATTTTGACCAAATTCAATTTAAGATCCAAGACATCCTTGAACTTCAACATATGAATCCCGGGCGGGTCGTTTCTCCGGTTCGCCCCATTTCGGCCTCGTCTGCCCCATTTCGGAATATTCTGCCCCATTTTACCCCATCGCCGATCGAGTCAGTATACCTAACTTAAACTATTGTCACTATAACTTTCTCTAGACACACAAATGGCTGGTGTTAAACGTATACCTGAGAGAATTACGTTTGAAACGAAAAAGGAACATAAATTAAAATACATTTCATAACCATTATAAGCTATTTTTATATATTTTTTTCTATTTATCAAATCAGAACGGATTAAAAGTGGGTGGAATTTTCGAAAAAATGGTTCAAGCAACATCTTTTCTAGCTACATAAATATCGTAAATTAAAAATTTATATGGCTATCAATTGAAAGTACTTGAATTCAATATGAATAAGGTTTTCATTATAGATGCTCCGACAGTAACCCTCAATAGATTCTTAATCTTATTACAGATATTGAAATCACTTTATAGACTAGACGGGTAATTTTAAATATAATTTTATCATACTCTTTCAAAGAAACCATTCCTAGAAATCAAATGGCGATTTAATTGAACGGCTTTACCAGGAAATATTTATAAAGAACGTAAGCAAGACTGGTTTGTTTCTAATAAAGTTTTTGAAATTTAGAACTGAAACCTTATTAAAATAATATAAGAATATATTTACCTTTTCACAATTACTCAGTTTAATGAAATTATCAATTATTATAACATAAATAGAGCTACGGAATTCAAAATTATGCCTCATCAACTAATAACGAATTTACGAGGTAACAGGAATTGAAGTAATCTTTCCCTAAGTTAATGAATTAGTTAATTACTTTGGAAGAATATAAAACGACGATATTTAAACACTCAACATTTCTAAGATAGAACTTATACCTTTAGTTTCTTCATGAAATTTATTTGTTAGGCTTCACGTGTATGTAATTGGAGTATAAAATAATTGGAGTTTTCTATTTGAGAGGTGAAAAAAATATTCACTATGTGTTTGTTTAGCTTTATTCAAATATTTACAATAAAGAACTAAAAAATTAAAAGTTTGTTATATGCATCCCAACCATACAGTTTTATGATCGTCACGATAAAAAAACGAATTTAAATTAAAATTGATATTTTATTTCATTGAATATAAATTTTGACTTAATATATAAAAGCATCATAAATATATAAATATTTATTTAAATTAAAGTAATATTTTTCACATCTCATCTGCCCGTGATCACGGTTGCCGAAAAGTAACCGAAACTTCGGGAGCACTCTGTTTTTAAAATAATCCGAAAAAGTTAAGTTTCATTGAAATGAATACTCGCGAAAGTCTTAGATCTCATTATAAATATATAACCTTACCAACATAATCTTTAAAATACATGCAAATGTTAACCGTAGAAATACATATCTATATAATTTATATAACTGATGCCAGAAGGTTTTCATCGACCCCTATAAAGATCTTAGTGGTAACAGGTCCGCACACATCATCGAGTGTTCCACAAACATTGAACCCTGATCGTCAGTTCTAGCTCCAATTACTCTGAAGTACTCCGAATATATTTCCACCTCTCGCTCCATTTAATAGTTGTATAATAAATCGTAGAATAAAACTTTTATTTCATCACGAATGTTTAAATTAATATAGCTACAGTTAGAACAAAATTAATTGCTACACACTCGATTGAAATTTTGAATTAGTTTAGTAATTAATGAAAACAAAATTGAAAGTAGTAAAAGCATTGTATGATTTTATATTATGTCTTCTTCGTCGTCTAATAAACTTGTGGTGCTAGTGACATACGAATACTAAAAGCAGTTGAAACCCATTTCGTCATGTTTTATTTTAATCTTGAATCAAAGATAAATCTGGACTCACTATATACAGACTGCACGTGAATAAAAATTGAAATATCTGTTGAATTGGACGCGACAGGATTTCAGAGCTCTTCAGAATTTCACATGCTCTTTGTATCGACTACATTCGTATACAGCGATTCAGATTTTTATTAAATCCTTTGTCATTGACAGCTCTATTCAGGAGGAAACGCATACGATTTTTAACCAACCTTAATTAGCTTTTCAGCTGTATAATTAAAATCAAAATGTAGTATATACCAATCGGATTAATTATGTTGTGTTGTTGAGGTTAAAGTCCCGCTTCTCATGCATGAGGGCGTGGGTTTGAAACCTGGCAAGTACCAATGTGATTTTTCCTAGACTTAGTACTTTCTTGGAGTATTTAGACGTCACTGACAGCCGGTGAAGGAAATCGCAAGCGTGGCGATTAATGCTCGAATCTTCTCTATGTGACAAGAAGCCTTTGATCAGGTACTCAGGGTTCTGTTAAGCGATAATCAAGCAGATTTAGAATTTTCGGAAACTTTTAATGAGATCTTTATAAACGATGACACATACAAAATAATGTCAAAGAACTACCCGTTAGTTAAGACCACATTGTTACAACTTGAAACAAGTTTTTTTGGTGTGTGGAAGCTCTGTAACTAATTAAAATATTTTGCTTACTTTTTAAGATAGTTAGAGAATTTATATTAAAATTGACGTGATTCTTATATATATATATATATATATATATATATTTATAAAATACATTCTCCACCAAAAAAAATAAGATGTTTGTAAATGTTTTATGCCTTATTTATAACATATGAGACAAATACAGAATTTTTTATTTCAATTATATTATAATATTTACGGACAAGAAATCAGTTGTATCCGTAATTTGGACAATCTATCCTTCTATTCATTGTTATCTCCACAACTACTGATAGAGATTTTATGCATCTAAAATTAAATAAAAATAATTGTAATACAATACACTGTCTAAATTTTAAAAACTTTTTATTTAGATTATACAACACGTTTAAATAAAATAATCTTTTATTTTCAGTTCAACTTCGTAGGTAAACTGTTAGGTCCGAAAGGCAACTCTCTGAAACGTCTGCAAGAAGACACGATGTGCAAAATGGCCGTCCTAGGACGAGGTTCTATGAAAGATCGCCAAAAGGTATTTGTTAACTTTTTATATTCATTTCATACTCATATTATCTTTCCTAATAACGAAGCTTCAAGAATAAATAAAGAAAAAAATCACGATACATGTACGAGTATGTATAAGAAGATATTCAAATGATTATATTTGAATACATAAAAAATATAACAAAAAAATTGATGCTAAAAATACAAATGATTACTTTGGAACCTAATATCTAAAACAATAAATGATATTATAGATTCACAATAATTTTTGTTTAGATATTTTATACGACAAATAAGATCATAGATTTTGAATTCTCTAACAACTTATGATAGTGCATAGATTCTGATTTATCAATGATTTTATGTCCATGGCTTATGTAATCTTATTCGCCAGGAGGAGGAGCTCCGTGTCTCCGGAGATCCAAAGTTCGCTCATCTATCAGATGAACTTCACGTTGAAATCAGCGCATTCGCGACACCAGCAGAAGCTCACGCCCGAATCGCGTACGCTCTCGCAGAATTACGAAGGTTCTTGGTGCCTGTAAGTAATTGACATATATTAAATCAATATAAACAGTTATTTTGCAGTTAAAAGTATTAAAATTATTTAATACAATAAATTAAAAGAGGAATTAAATATTAATGTAACTTGTTTCATAAATAAAATTGTAGGTGCAACCGTGAAAGACATTTCGATATCTTCCTTTTACTATTTTTAATTATTTCTCATGGAAGATTCATTTAATTTTATTTTTATTAAATCTATCCAATGTGTTTTCTTCTTTTCATAATAAAGGCCATTCATTAAATAAGTATACATAGATTTTTATTCAAAATTTTATAAAACAAAATTTAGACAATTTCTAGAACGCTATTTTACTTAAAAAAATCATATTTAAAGCCGGTTCTCAGTGTCAAAATTGTCCAGAAAATCAAATTATAAATAAACAATAAACAATGGATTGTATTTCTTTATCTATAACAATTTTACTAGCATTTTTTTTACCCAATTGATATCTCATATAATTTCAAAGATCCCTTTACAAGGTAACCCCAACGACCCAAGATCAATGAAAGAACAGACAGTTCGCGAGCATATATAAAAATATTATTTTCATCACAATCCACTCACGACAAAAGTTAAATCTGAATATTCATATCATTTATAACATAAAATTATCTCTTGATCTTTTCAATTTACGGTATCTAATTCGTTTGGAGTCCGTCAGCATTTTATAATTCAATTTCAAATTCGCTTCTAGTAATTGTAATTTTTTTCATTCACAACTTATGAAACTCATTTCAACATAAAATAGAAAGCTTGTTTAATTATATGAAAAAGTTTCATCTTTATCTTTATACACACACACTCACAGATACTCACACAGACATATCTTCTTCTTCTACCTGGCAATTTCCCATTTTTGCCATGGTCTGCCTTCCTTGTTGTGAATAGTTTTGGTTAATTGTTTTTACGACCAGCCGCCTGCCTGACATCAACCATATTTGGGAATGCATTAATCAGTTATGTCTAAATACTCTAAGAAAGTACATATGACTCAGAAAAATCACATTGGTACTTGCCAGGGCCAGGATCGAACCCGCGACCTCATACATGAGAGGCGGGCCTTTTAACTACTAGGCCAACACTACACACAGACATATATATATATATATACTCGTTTATGTATGTATATAAATTATAATGAACGATCCGGTCTAGTTGTATTTATCCAAGAATAGAATGTCTAGAAATCCTGTTTTATGATTACAACAGGTGTAGAATTTTGATTTTTACGAGCGACGATTGAACGGTGCGCCAAATTTAACGTTGTTTGAAGACACATTTACGATCGTATCACCCTTTGAACTTTTCTATATTGGTAAACCAGATATAACTATTTAATGACCGTCTTTAATCACATATCAGATAGCAATACGCTGTACTAAATACAACCATTACGATTAACTAAATAGGTTATTACACACGTTAACTAATTTGATTGTAGATAAATAATGTTAGGATTACAGATGGAACTAACGTAAAACATGTTTAAATGTAGGACAAATATTTAATATCCTTTTGTAATTACTTATATTTTAATTACAGCAGTGATAATAAGATTGTTTATTTTCAAATAATTTTTACTGATTTGATGAATAAGTTCAAATTATACAATGAATTAAATTAGAGTAAACAAAGGTATAATGAGTACTACTAGTATATAGTAATAAAATGTTATCTAATACTAATTTTGGTGTGACTTCGAGTTGTTTGCGAAATTTTATTTAAATAAAATAGTTGTGGCATGCTTCCTCCAGAGCCATCTGTCGTCGTTGGCATCTGATTGCATACTAAATACAGCGAGTATATTGTGTATAAGCGAGAAATTTGTAGATTTTTTTGTACAAAGTATAGCTTATACATTCTTCTGATTTTTAAGGTACATGATTAGAAAGTAGCGCCACAATCCTTTCTTTTTTTTTTTTCTTTAAAATAGCAACTGAGATCCTTACACAAAACTTTCTTATTTAAATTGTTATTAGAATTTAAGAGTCCCTTATTATAATTATTATCTCAACTTTTGGATTCAAGTTTTTGTATTGTTCCTTAGGATTACAATGACGATATTCGACAAGAGCAAATGTTGGAGATGCAAATATTGTCTTCTCAAAACGAACAACGGCGTCTCACTCCGCCTGACTCATCAAGAAGTGGTAGCGAGGAAGCTCTGCCATTACGAGATAATGTTGCCAAACAACGAGTAAGTACAAATGGATGATTATTACGACGATAACACCATATCAAAACTTTTCATTAAAATATATTTTCAGAAACTGCAATAATTCAAACTTCAAATCTTATCATTTTCTATATTATTATCATTTTGGATTAAACAGGAGAGTTTGGTATTTTTTATACAATTATACATTTTAAAATAGAAGTATATAGAATTTTTAATAATATTGATGCCAGATGATATCTTTTTTTTCCTAATGACTTTAATAATGATAATATATCAATCATCTAAAATCAAAAACAAACAACGATTTCCAATAAATGTTGTGAAATTTTTACTTATTAAAGCCAATCAAATTAGAAATCATTTTACGCAAGTAAACTTAACTCTAATACTCTCAAAGACAGCGGTCACCTATTTTATTTCTACGTATTTGGCTAAGGGATTAAGCTGACGCGACATAGAGATATACACTCAAAACTAGTTTATATATACCAGATTTATTAGATTAACTATGTGTTTGATATATAACATCTGTCAGCTTAATAAATAATATATAACCAAAAGAAACCACACTACTTTTAGAAATATTTTATAAAAATAAACCAATATTCTTTTATCTCATATTGATCGTCTATAATTAAATAACCGATTTTTCGACTCCTCCTCCTTCTACTATTTGTGCAACTTAATTGATTGTTAAAATGTCTGTAGATACCAACAACACCAGTGACTCAAACACTACCAGCCGCAATTGCTGTCAATCATAGCAGTGCAAGGGACTTCTCCCCCCCAGCACCAACTCCTGCTCCCGAACACTTGGCCCATCATCAGGTAATAAACAAAAAATCAATGGAATTTATTGACCTATTTATCCCAAGAACTACATACGTCACGTATATAAAAATTGTTGCACCATACATAAAACCTTTTAAACTCTTATTACTTATTCATTCAGTTTTTATTAATAACTGACTTTTTTCGTTTCAAAACTCTCAAGCAATGATCAAAGTAAACAATGCTCAAAGCAAAAACCGACGAGTTGGAAAGGCACTTTATTTTAAACTTAAGTCGTTAGATACTCCAAAGAAAAAAGGACCTATCTCAGAATATTTATAAAAGGACAAGCAATTATCGCCATTATGACTTGGGAAAGGGGCAAATGTTTCAAGTTGTTCAATGCGTGAGGTTGACCCAATTTTCATGACAAAAATAAACCATTTTTCGTTATTATTTTCAGTTTTGTTTCTGTTATGATAGTATATTTCAATATTGTTATAAGAATTATATAAAGGTTGTTTTATCTCATACAACATTGATTTTGGATAAATATTTGTAGAAAAAAAATCATTGAATTGAAACTAGATTTTTCGGATGCTACTAGTTTTTTATTATTTTACAACTACAAAATCCCGACATTTTAGTTCCTTTCCAGAAACCGTAGTCACGTCGGGCCGCGTAGTATCTTAAAAACAGAGTTTAATCCAACCGATTACATGTGAAAATCTTAGGTATTATTAAATGACTTATATGTTAAGCTTTTTTTTATCTCAACAGCTTGCTTCTGCCCACGCGAATCACGGAGTTTTAGTCGGAGGTGGAGTTATCCAGCAGCCACCGACCCATCATTTACTCACACAAAACTCAATTCTAGGTAAGCAGATATAAGGTTTCTTTTTATTGACACACAATCTTCCACTACTCATAAGGTAAGCATAGTACATAGATCAAAGCTTAGTGAATTAAATAATGTTTGATAAAACATCTTTAACATATTTTAAGGAATCAACACAATGATTAATCATATTTGTTATTACATAATCAATCGAATAATCATCACTAACTATCAGTTAATATTGTAAATCCATTGAGGTGGCTCCTTCACGGACAGGGCCAGCAACGCGTCTACAACACTCTTTATATTGCAGATGTCCAAGGGCGACGGTTACTACTTTCCATTAGGTAGACCATCTGCCCGTTTGGCTCCCCAACTAATATAAAAAAGAGATTATTTCTTTTCGTTTTCCATAGAAACACCATTGAGAGCTAATATCATTTCAATTGAATCACACTAACACTAACCCTACTAACACTAGGTGGTGGTGATATCCTGGGTCTAAGCAGCCCAGTTCTAGGTGGTATGATCCACGCTCATCCCGCACTCCGAGGTGTCAAACCAGCTGCTGTCCACGCGCTAGCATCGCAAGGTCGGTACGTTGTGATTTTAGACCAGTTAGGATGACCTTTCCAAAATGACTTAGTTATTCAGTCCCCATGAGTTTTACTTATATTGGGTAATTTTAATTTAGATAAAAGATCTAAGGTAATATTGGCTAGAGCTGACCAATCACGAATCAGTAAAGGTCATCGTTACTTATTAATCTGACTTTTTACATAAGAAATTTTATCGAATGAATAAATGTTCTATGTGAATATACAATTTTGTTGGTTATACAATGCCCGTCTCTTTATGACATACTTTTCTAAACCGTAATTATTAACAAAGGCTTGATCGTCTAAATATCTGACAGCGGCATGAAAATACGTTTATTTGGAAAAATGTAAGAGCGTAACAATTATAACCCATTTTAACTTAAATTTTAATATAATGTAGATCATATTAAAATAATTGGACAGTTCTTCGTGAATTACTGCCTGATTCTTACTAATATTGAAGAGTTCTTGATACTAAGATAGAAAATGAATTGTAAGAAAAAGATGATAGAATAATCATTAAAGTCATAAAAGTCAAATGCATTATATTATTAGTACAACCTAAGTCTAGTTGTACCATTTGAAATTTTCCATTGATATATAATTCATTATTTAGATACAAAAAATTATGGTTAAGTAGTCTTAAAACAGTGTTATATCCCGATTGAAGTCCAAAATAAACATAAGTCTGAGAATGATAATACTTATGTTATAAATTTATTATTATTCGACATTTAACTGCTTATTTAACTGCTCAGAGGTAAGTGGTCGTAAAGCAACCGAAAGTTTAAAAAGGTTTAAAGAAGTTAATTGTCTTTTACTCTCTTGGTTTATTGGCTAATAAAAGCAACGACTGTTCTTAAAAGTTTTGAAGCCAAACTAAATTAAAGCTGAAGCAAAGACTAATCAACTGTTTGTTAAAAAAATATATATAAAACAACAAATCGCTGAATAAAGTTTTAATTGAAAATCAACCTTATACTTATATAGTTTAATATAAGTTTGCTTTGAAATAAGATACTTAAATATATACAATACAATTAAGCTATGTATTATAAAGTTTAAACTTACCAAAGCATCTTTGAAATTTGATTCGTTGTCAAACTACTTGGACAATTAAGGACCAGAGTATAATTATATCTTAAATATGTACATTATATTTTACATTTAACATGGTCTAGATTCCACGCACTGGTGAAGTCACTCATAGATGCGTAACAATTTACTTAGTCTCTTAGAAATGACTCTTAAACACTTCATTAAAACATAAACGATATTTAAATAAACTTTATTGTGTTTTTCTTTTCGATCTAATTAATATACAAAATATTTATATTTAAAATATTTAAATCTATTAAATACATATCACATTATAATATTACTCATCTATTTTGAATCCTCTACGTCTGTTGAACCTCTTTTGTTGTCGTTAATCGAATAATAAATACGAAAAATATCAATATATTAATATATATGATCAACACTAGTCCATTAGTCAGTAGTATATCCTTAATAAATGAAGCTCACAATGAGATATTTATATATAAGTATAAAGTGTATGCTATAAAGTAAAGGAGACCCAGTTTTTCGATAATAGTATTTTATAGTAGAGAATATTTGAACTAAGCTTCGGACGCGTCATGTGTGTAATAAATTTCATTAAAGAATATTTTACTCTTAAATTATTTATAGACAGTAGAAATAAAAATTATAAAAGTGAAAAACAATCTTAAATAATAATAATTTGAATGAAATATGGATTCAAAGAGTATAAGATTAACTGACAAAAGAAAGACTGTAGATGATAAAATCTAACAATACTTTGAAATTTAAACTATTATTATCATAAATAAATTCATTATTTATCTTAAAAATAATATGCGAAGTAATATAATTAATACTAATAAAGTTTTATTTTATTTATATAAAGCAAAGTATATATATATATATATATATATATATATATATATATATATATATATATATATATATATATATATTGTATAATATATATATGTATATTATGTTATACGAAGAATATTTATGTCACAATGCGTACCATGAACAAATATGAAAATATAATGAAATATATCTCCGGTGAATGTCAATTTAGCAAATAAGTGTCTATATCAATTGGAGCATTCATGTGTATACAGCTATAAATGTATTATTGATATATTTATATGAAATGTATTATTCATGAGCAAATTAATCTTTTATTATAACTTTAATAATAAAAAAACACAAATAATTAATAGTTAAAGCAAAATCGTAACGTTATAAATACACAAAGGACCAACACCTTATTGGGCATCTAATAGTACAGCAGCTAGCAACGTTTGAAAAGTAAGAACAAGAAGAATGATATAATATTATAAATTAAGCTGACTTGAAATTCTCTTTCTAAAAATTTCTTGCTCTTACACTATACTTACTATAATTTTTGTTACCTATTTTAACCACTACTCTATTTCAATTATATCATACATGCTTTATCAAGTATAACTGTGACTGTCACAAAGAGCGAACCAACCAAATATCGGTGTTAAATTACAATTTACTATGACTTGCGATAATGACCTGGTAATTAATTAACTGATCTGAAAGTAGCATACATGAGGTCAAACGCTTGTTATTGTGACCTAATAATAAAGTAATTAAAACCAAATACTTAAGAGTATAAGTGTAGGTTATGATTAATTAAGATATATAAGGCTTATGAGCACACGTTTAAATAAAACTTTGTTTTGGCTTTATTTTATGTCTATTTTTTTACGAATGATAATGAGAAGAGATGAAAGTCTATCAGTAATTCTTGATTTTAGGTTGTTGAGAAAATACAACACTCACTTTCTATAAGTCATTCAAAATTATTTTTAGATTCTCTAAAGCAAAAGTGCGAGAAATAGAAGTCTTAAGAAAAGGTTATTACTTTAGCCAATTTGTCAGGAAAGCTTACGTAATTATGGTCAAAAATATGTAATAAATGGAATCGTCATATATTTATTTTTAGGAATGAAAACACATTACCAAAAACACAATATTACTTAAAACAAATTATGTAAACGAGTTTGGAAATACTTTTATGACAAGCGTTTGAACCACGAGAGTTGTAGGCGAAAAAAAACTATTTAAAATTAACTAATTAACTATAGCACAATATAATAATGAGACTGTTTGATAAATGAAATGATGAATGAGATGAAAATGTTCGTGATGGATGAGATTACAGATTCTTTAAAAATTCATATTAATTATAATACTAATTTATATTTTTACGTAATACTTCATTATTTAATCATTTTAATTTTAATTCATGTTCAATATCTCTCGTTAAAACATTTTTATACGTTTAAATGAAACTAATATTTTCGGATTTACTACGCGTTTTTTATTTTTGACTATAAACTACTTACATGCTTCCGACGTTTCGGCTACTTTACAGCAACCAAGCAACAGACACTTACATCTCGTCTGCACGTGATCACGGTTAGTTATTAGTAAATTCGAAAATATTAGTTTCATTAAATGAGTACTCGCGAAAATCTCAGATCTCATTATATTTACACGTTTATTACATGTAACTGAAATCACAACATGTTAAAGAAGATTATAACTATTTATATATGATCCTCTTTAAGATTTCTTTCTTATATAGTACGAGAGTAAGGTTAATACTGTTGGTTTCTCAAATGTGTATGAATATGAATGTACATATAAGTTGTGGTTGATGGTAGTGCTTGTTAGCAGGTGCGGGTGGGGTGGGTGGGAGCGGTCGCAAGCGGCCGTTGCTCGGCGCTCGGGCCGCTATGTCGCCGACTAAGAGAGCGGTTATGACGCTGTTGGCTCGAGCTAGGGCCGCCACTCACAAGCATACGCCGCAGTGGCCCACACACGAGTGAGTTGTACAATATACACCCGCCTTGCCCGTGCCTGTTTATATATCATCATCAGCCTATCAGAGCCCACTGAGCAAAGTCCTCTTCTCACATGGAGAAGATTTATATATGTTCTTGTCTAAATATGTGGCGATACTATGTCACCAGTTTTATGTTACTGCCATTCATATTTATGGTATAATAAGCATAAGTTCAAGAGATAAAAAGAATAACAATATTTGATTTATTTCAAAGAATTTTCTTCTCTTTTACAACTTACAACCAAAGTAATACAAAAGATTCTTAGTTTTAAGTTATATTCAAAATCTTTATATTAAAGTTTGAGTTATGAATGTTTTAATAATATCTATTTTCTCTGTTTACAGACACGCAACCCTTCTTCCACTTATAAGAGATGATTTCGTGACCGGAGTTGGAGTTAATATCAACTTAGCATAATAACGCAATATAGTCAAAATATATTAGTAAATATATTGTAAATATTCATCGAATACTAGTTATCCAATATTCATCACTATTTAAAAATAATAGATTCTTATATACTGGATTTATTTGCATATTTAATATACCAAATACACAATTTAATATTGCCATATTTAAAACGATATTCCCATTTGTATCAATATAAAACTTTTAATCAAATATATAGCCTTTTATACATATAATGTTATGAATTTATAAAAATTTTAACTCTCTATATCGATGTTTCGTTTTTTCAAGATCATTTATAATTCAGTCAATTTTCTATAACCCCAGTATTTTAAGGCTTTTAGTAAGAAAGAAAGGACCACGGTGTTTTAATACTAGGCCTTATAGAAAAGAAATAGTTGTATATATTTATTATAGAGTCGTTTGAATATAAATTATACGAAATCGATGTATAAGAAATATAATACAATAATTTATTCAAGTTAATAAATATAAAATTTTAAATCTTCGAAATGTATTGATATAAACTATTTATACAAAGCACTGTTTAATAAACAACAACTATATGAAAAAAAACTCCACTTGCACATCCTGAAAATGAATAAAAAAAACTTTTTAGTATATTCAATAAAAAAACATTTACTATGCTTTTAAAAAAGGGAATAATATAATCTGTAGCATTTTGCAGATGTCTCTAGTGTCATTAAATATTTACGTTCTAAAATAAGCTTTTAACATTTTCTAACAATATTTAAAATAATATTGTATATATTAATATCATCTTCTTTTGTGATACAAATAGTATATAATTAATTGAATACGTAGCGAATTAAATTATAACTCTTTAGAAGGATTGCATCATTAAAAATTACTTTATATACAATAAATATAAGATCTGAATAAGATTGAGGTATTCAAACAAATAAAATTCATCTGATATATGACGAGTAATAAATAAATATTATCGTATAAAGAAATTGACAGTTTATTAATTCTCTACAATACCTGTAGTAGTGTTAAGTTGTATGTGCACTGATTATAGAAATAAAATTTTAAAATAGCTATATTATTTTATTTTCTTCGATTTATATAAACCCCACCCATTACACCAACAAATGAATAGATTCTTATTGTATACCCTTTATGTACATAAATAGATATTTAAAATGGTTAACCTAAATAATAGCACAAAATAGGGAGGTTTGTTTTTGATAGTAATTTGAAAATAACGACAGAGCTATAAAAATAAGGACAAACGACAAAATATTTTATTATATAAGACACAAGAAAGTGTATTTTTTGTGATCTCTATTCTGAGAAATTTATTTTATTTAACTGAGTAGAGACGAAAATAAATATACTTTTTTATTTAAAAAAGGTGGCGTTAACATGTGTGGTATGATTTCAGTGTCTCAGTACTTTCATAATTTTCGTGAATATAATAACTTGCTCGAAAAACTTGTACACCTTCAACATAAGGGCATTTAGTGCTTTGGTTACATTTACAATACTGTTGCAAACTATGACAATAACAGATTTCTCATTTTGATAAAGCCATCATTATTATATAAACGAAGTTTGACTGATTGATTGCTTTACTTCTAATTGTTTTGGCAGGATTATATTATTAATTTTAATTAACATGATAAACTTTTCACTTGACTCTTACGTGGTGAGCTTCTAGAAATAGTTTGCAGAAAGTAAATCCCAAAGATCCCGTATCAATCGATTTGGTGAAACCCGTAGTATCTGTTACTGAAAAAAATCAGTCTTCTAGGTTTAAGATATGTTTCTAATTCATTATATCTATGATCCATAATATTACAAAGTATTGAGGTTATCGCAAAGGTACAAAAATTAGACGGGTCTGCAAAGCTTTCTTTTTAAGGTAAGTGTTGCTAAACTTATAAAATTAGAGACTGGACTTATCATTAAGAGCGTCAGTGTAGTTTTGCCAGAACAGTAGATAACTTAGGTGCATAACCTTTTAGCCTTTTGGTTAAATTACCAACCGCGAAAAGGTCCAAACTACGTAGAGTTCTTAATACTGGTAAAACTCTTTCATGGACAAAACACAATCATGTAACCTACTTGTAAATCTTGAGGTAAAATAAAAAGACATTGTTACGTTTTCCTTTCTCCGAAATTAAATTTTGCAGAAGCAGACAGTTATTTTTGTTTTCACCGCTTTGCCTAAAACTAGAAATCTGTACTGACAGAAGGTTGAGACATCGTGCCATAGTATTTTATATAATTTAGATTACCAATTGTATCACTGGTTGCCATGGCAAAAGGTGTTCTTTTCGGAAATAACATCTTCAGTTTTACAATTTCGAGTATCCAGAAAACATACTCCAAACGCTTGTGTTCTTCAGCTTGACCACACCCAACCAAATAACAAATTGTATGTTGATAAAAAAGGTAGAGTATTTCGTTGGCTGACCTATCACATATCAGTGATATCTATCTTAAGATCAAAATCATCAATTGTTTTGATCGTACTACAATGTATATAATTTGTAATTAGATTGTTATTATGGGGAAAGACAATTTTCAGCTATTAATTCCTGATAATTGTCTGTAAACATAAATACAAGTATAAACATGTTAATGTTTAATTAATTTTAGTTTAATGTTTAATGTTGTGCCTTATGTTTAGGCCATAAGTTCCTTTTTTAGTCTTATTGATTTCAAAACTTTCAACTTTAACACACACACACTTTGTTAATTTAATACATTAATTTAAATTCAACCTTTATGTGTCCTTGATATCAAATTATAAGGCCCGTTCCTTCATAAATTGTCTTTCGTGATTTTACATAAGGATATTTCACTTCCAATTACGAATCCCATTATAATAACATGTGAAATTTCATTTAATATTCAGAATGTACAAACTTTCTAATGTAATAAAGTTAATCCCTCGACTTGACGTCATTGGTCCATTTTACAGTCAAATACGACCGTATATTATACATTTTAAAAAGGTAATAAAACTAGTTACGAATTATGATTAGTTGAGATTATTATTAACATTATATTAAATAAACAATATAGTCTAGATTTACATTAAATTTATAACTCACAAATATAATGAGTTGAAATTACCACAGGTTGAATGAATAATGAATAATGACCAAAGCGCGATTTGGAGTACACTTCGCGGTGTTTGTACGCTTAAACTATTGACTTTATGGAGACTTTTTTTGTGATAAAGGAGGCAAACGACCATACGACGGACCTGATAAAGGTAGGATGTATTGCCTTCCTTGATTGGCGAAGAGGGAGATGAGGGTGGGAACGAGGACAGGGCAACCAACTTACTCACTCATAGGATGAAAGGCAGCCATTTAAGACTTCTTCACTCCAATCTTCTGTGAGAGGATGGTACTTCCCGGTTGAGCCAACCCATGTTCTAGCTGCAGTAACTTAACCATCTAAGTGCTAGATTCTACCACCAAAAAGTTTCCAGGTAACCACTATATTTTTTACCAAATGACTGTGCTATGAATCAACTTTCTGAATAATATAAATTAAATGTCCACTTAGTAAATATTTTTATCCCTTGCTTAATAAATGGTAAGTAAATTTTAGTTTAAATTTATTATAACATTTATATCATTACACCTTTTGCGACCACATTACTGTTGATGTTTTAAGTTCTAGCTTTATAAAAGGATACTGTAGAAAAAAAAATAAACATCATTTCAATTATACATCATGATCAATATTTAAAGGTCATGCTTGGTTTTAATAAGAACTATGATAAAAACACTTCCTTGCAATTAACTGCTTTTATACATATATAAATACGTATTGTAAGTAGTATCAACTTACTATTTGTCTTTGTGTTATCCGAATTTGTGTTGACTTAGACGAAACCTCCTAAATGTTTTTCCTCCTACTATATGGTAAATAATAAACAAATTTATAAACCACAAAAAAAATACAAAAAATATACTTTATCAAATTATCCGAAGAGTTTGAAAAAATCCTTGACTAAAAAATATATAGGTACGTCGTGTCCTTAAGAAAAACCATTTTTTTTATAAGTTTCTCCCGTATCAACATATTATATCTTCACATATAAAAAAGTAAAAGAGAAGTGCAGACATCCAAATGGATACCTTTGAATAAAATATATTCCCTGAATAAATCCTTTTATAAGATTCAAAACAGGTCGACAGTTTTATCGGGTGGTTTATATCTTAAGATGCACAATTCAGTATTATTGACATATTCAGATTTTGCACAGTGCCGTAGGAATAAATTATTATTAATACAAAATATTATTATGCATTATATGTAGCTTTCATATTTCTCTATACGGGTTTTCCATCCATCTTCATGCTTTAAATATAGGGTAAAAACTATCACAATTTAATTTTAATAAAGTACGAACTATTTCACACATACATATATGTAATATGTAGGTACTGCTAAATCAATCTCATTATGAGTTATACAATTAAATATGTATATATTAAAATCGCTTTTTAATAAGACCAATAAGATGTTTTGCAGTAGTGAAGAATTAAGAGTAGTGGAGAGTAAAGAGTATTTATCTCTTAAGAAGCTAATTACTTTAAAGGCCTTTTATATCCATTTGAGCTTAACACGATTGCAAAAAATACAGAAATCAAATGGAAGATATACTAATTGATGAAATAAGAGCATTTTGTTGTTTACTTACTTTTTATGAATAATATAAAAAGCATATTTACATTTTTGACCAGTTAATAGTATTCCAAATGTTTTTCTGTCCAAAAACAATAAATAAATTCTTGTATTTCATGGCAGGAAGTGTAACAAAACTGTTATGAATGTAAGAGGAAATATGAAGCTAGATTTTCCAATTTATATTTATGTATAGCCAACTCAGATCAAGCGTCGGTTTGATGTTGTTTTAGATTTACACGCGTTCCTGAAAATTTTGTCTTCAGCTTTGAATGTTGTATGTTACTTGAGATGTTAATACTTCGACTATATGCTTAATCAAGATTATTGCT